TTTTAGATGAGATTAGATAGAATTCAATTATTTGATGTTTTTAAAAAAAAGATCCATTATGAATAATTAAAATGTGTGATTCATATTTTTTTAAAATAAAGTTTCTTCTTCCAATTTGCGAATTAGGTTAAATTGGACATTGTAGAATTTATTGGCTCTTTCTTTAGATGATTATCTCTTCTAGAAAAATAAAGATGAGCACATTGATATATTTTTGTTTAAGGAGATCAACAAAATCACGTGATTCATTTACCGAAAAAATGCGAATTATATCAAAAGATTTGAAAATGTTAATTACGAAAAATAAATTAGAATAAAATAGAATAATTCACCAAGTATACGTGTAAAAATTTTAAATAACCGATTTTTCTTTTGGTTAGGACAACGTAAGACTATCGAGAAACAAGCTTTCACAATGCGAATTGATAACTAATTCATAATGTATTTGGTCAGTCCCCAATCGTTTAACGATTTAGTTTATTGAATAATTTTATTTAAGTAGTACTTTAAATCTCTATAAATTTGACGTAAATACTCTGAATAAAACCATGTCTAAAAAGGAATGATTATCGAGGGCTGAAAATTAACAATATACTCCGTTTTAAGGAAATTATTAACCAAACGAAAGATACTAACTGATTTAGATCACCGAATTCAAAAGAAAATTCCACAATGATATTATTTATGGTTTAGAAAATTAGATCTCAGCTTACTACTTAATTGATTGAATTAAATAGATTATGGAATGGAATGCCTCATGATTCTCCGGCATTTTCCATTAATGAGATCGCTTACCTTTTTCGATGTTATAGACAAGGTAATTAATTGAAAAATTTAATTTTCTTCGTTATTATACCATTACATTTTTTTTTTAACGATGCTCAGTAATGTTTGAAAGGTGATATTGTTTGTTCATTTTCAATTTTTGTGATACATTTCGCATCAAGTGTACACAATACTATTTACCTTGTAGCACAAATATTTATGATCATGTGAATAAACTAAAATCTGGAATTTACAAATTTATTTGACGGTGATTCAAAATATTGAAAATATTTAACCGATCGGCAAACAAAAAAGATTACGCCTTTAAAAACCCTGATGATAAAGATATTGAACAATTCAGTTTGTGTAATATGCTTTGAAACCATAAACAAATAATAACAGTATTCAACAAATCAATTGATTTAGATCTAAAGTTAAATATATTCTGTGATTACACTTTAAAAGCACTAGCATATATAATTAATGTAAGTTATAATAATATTTTCACAAAGGTCAATAAGTCTCTTCAATTTAATTGATACTTAACACCATTGAGAGTTTATCATTTATTATCCAATTTAATTGACATTTAATTACATTGATTGACCTTTAATTATTAAAAGTTTAAGAAAACAAGAGATGCTGCCGTAAATTTAGTCGCGTTTTAATTTAATTTTCTTTATTTCTTTTTTTTTTTTTGGTGCCTTGACATCATTCATTTGTAAATAGAAATCTAACGATGCACATCACCGGAAAGTTAAGTTATTAAAAATACATAATGGAAATAAAATACTTTGAAATATCACAGATGTATATATTATTTTTTTCACTGTTTAAATGGGTTACATAAATTTTATTTTAGCAATCCTCAGCCAAATTCTTAAAATGATGCAAGAATTTAAGATTGTTTCAAAAGTAAATCCTTACTAGTTTCGCAATAGATGTTGTTCATAAATTGGAATTCTAAAGATCAACAACGGTGATTAGTTTCCGTTGGGACATGGATATTCTATGCAAAATAAATAAATATTAAATATTCGAACCTAGGTTCTTGATATTCAAATATCGAAAATGATTTCGCAAAATCATTTTTCTCATTTCATATATCGACACTCCAAATAAACCTCCATAAAAGAAAAAACGCTCCTAAAAAAAATGAAAAATAAAATGAACTAAGTAAATCTAAATTAAAAAAAAAACTCTCGAAAGAAACCATCGTAAACTTACCAAAGGACTTGAAATTTACAGTGATTCGTTGCCGATTCCTAAATAAAAATTTATATATTCTAAATTTTCATAATATGTAACCGGAAATTTCACTTAAAAAAATTCAATCAATCCTCAACCTCGTCTCGAAATTCGATAATTGAAATAAATTTTTGAATATCCTTTTAATAAATTTCGAAGCATTTGAAAATCAATTGAAATTTCAACGGAATTACTATAAGAATCTTCATCACGAACGTGAGCACCGTAATGATCATATTTGTTAAGACTGGCATTCGAAACAAAATATGGCAAAGTTCTAAAAAGAACTATTTATTACGTGTAATGATTAGCGAACACAAATTTGGTTATTGACTTTGCATGGATCAATCAAAGAAAATCTCGTACCATTAAAATTAGTCGTTCGAAGAGGTTCCTTTTTTAAATATTTATTTTTTTTTTAAAAAAAAAAAAATAAATGCATCATAAAACAAATGATTTCAAAGGATAAAAGCATCTCGTCTCTTTAATGTTACATGACTTTTAATCTATTAATATTAGAGAATAATCAGCGTCAAAAGTATATAAGAGAATAAATTTGTAAGAAATTTTCTTATGAACACTACACTTACCAGCTTTATTAATTAACAAATTACATGACACGATAAATAATACAATTTCTTGAACACGTCTTTGATCTCCTAATTTTTTTGAATGTTATTTTATTATATTTCAGTTTATAATTCCCTTTCGCTTTCTGATTCCACCTTGACAAAAGATTACTAGCGTAGTGAGAATGAGATTAGAATCGTATCAAAGACCAAATCGAATCGAAAAATAAATAGATTTTGAAACTATCAAAGTAAACACGCATAAACTTATACTTTCTTCAATCTCTGTTTTCGGAATATTTACTCACATGATTAAGATTTCATCAATCAATTCTGCTCAAATAATACTAGGAATGTATTCATTATCTTTAGAATCCCGAATTTCTGATGATCTTTGCCTTTCTGCTGCCAAAGCTTCAAGTTTTCGTCGTATGTGATGTTGTAGATTTGGCGTATCTTTTACAAGTCGAGCTAATCAAACTTTGTCGATTAAATGAAGATCGGATCTCGTTAAGTGTGAACGATTTCGCCAATGAAAGCGATTCCAATACTTAAACGAGACCTTAATTTGAGCTTGTAATTACGACCACCAAACTCCAAGAAAATTTATCCACATCGCAAAGAAGAATTAGTTTCTATAGGAAACATGGAAAATCATGGGATAACAAACTCTTAAAGCTAAATCTAAAATTATCTTTCACATAATGTCAACCTGATCTAGGGAATGAAAATTCTACTATTTAACCACCTATTTAAATAAACACAATGGTAAATTTTGTGAATCCCTCATTGTCAACAGCAAAATTAAAGCTTCAGCATCCAATTTTTAAATCTATTTCAAAAATAAAAACACCTTGATTAACGGTTCATTCAAATCCGATTGAAAATGATTTAACTAAATTAAAAATTCATCATCACCAACCAAGTAAAATCCATTAGATATCACCCACCGTGCTCACCATTAGTATTATATTATTATATCCTCGGGTGTTCGTCGGGTTTCCATTTCTTTGAAGTACGACATGTTCGATAATAAAAAACTAGCCAACTTTACGAAGAGATATTTTATCAAAGAGAAAAATCATATGACATGATATTTAAGGTTTTGCATATGATCGGTGATCTTACTTGCATCAATAACTCCTTAAATGAAATGTCAAAAGGAAACCCCATGTAACACGAAAAAAATTAAAAATGGAAAGATTAAAAAATAAATTTGTATTTTACCACTTAAAAAATTTTTTTCAATCCACATTAGATTGCTCTAGATTAAAAAAAAAAAAAAAAAAAAAAAAAAAAAGAATCTATCAATAGTTACATGTCATTTGTAATTCTTTTTTTTTCAAAAAAAAAATTTTAATAATGGTTAATTATTATAATTGTTTGCCAAAGCATGACATTTCTGCAAGATAATTAAATGGTTCCATCCTTATGCGTTTAAGAGTTGCTACTTTAGGATTAATGGAATAAATTTCAATGTATACAAAACTAGGAGCAGTTACAAAGTTATTATAAAGCCTTCTTCCAAATAAAAAAATTTATTATATATTACATCGTCATAAACAATGTCCCGAAAAATCATGTCACGAAAAATTTTTTACAATGCCAGATTTGGTTAGTTCGTTTACATAGTCGCACAATTTCCAATTTCGAAACCGGTTATTGCGTTATGCATTATGTAACGTATTTATTTTCGTCTCAATTTACCACTCCCTGATTAAGTCGGTAAACTTGAGGCCAGACTTGTTTATTTGAGCTTGAATTAAAATCGTAATAATAATTTATTAAATTTATTTACTAATTTGGGTCATCTGATCGGAATTGGATATTCCAAAATAGTCGATTTAATATCAAAATAAAATTTCATAGATTAACCAATTCTAGACAAGGTTCACCTGTGTGACCATTTCTCATTGGGAATATGTAATATATATATATGATTTTCGGACAAAGATTTCTAAGATTTTCCAGATTTATTTTCAGCCATGGTTTTTTAAAGCAAACCGAGCTGAATTTAGAAGTTACCGTGTTGCAGATTTTATCACTTTGATGTAACCGGTTGAATAACTGGTTAAGGTTTCTTGGAAAAACTCGGAGCTTTGTTTACGTTGGGGTTGGCGTTATCCTTTATACATTATGCAAACTTTACCTTGAATGGGCTTTTCCCATGCACAAATATTTCTCGAGAATTGCTTCTGTCCATTGTACTGAACTCAAAGACAATGAATAGATTGTCCTGATTTACAGCTGTTACCTGCAATAAATCATCCGATTTTGCCAAAGTAGTAATGCTGTAAAAAAAAATGCTATTTAAATGACTGTGAATTTGATTGATGTGATCCTAACTTTTTCTTCCTTCCGACATTTATAATAACCCTCACTATAATCTTTTCCATTTTTTTATTCTTTTACATTAACATGGATCAAGAAAAACTATTTAACAAATTTTCACGAGAATTAGAAAAGCTGACCGAAATTAAAAAAGACTACTTTGTGAATAATCGATCATTTAACGTCACCATAAATATGGATGACGAACTACATCGTCGGAAGGTCATCAATGAAATCGTTGAATCTATTCAGAACAAAGAAGAAAAGAACCTTTACATCAAATATCAACAATGTTTCCGTTTTTACAATGTAATGTGTCAATACAAACAAAAGTACGAAGAAGAGGGTTGCAAAAAAGTAACCCGGAGAGTGATGGATGACATCGAATTAAGCCATAGCTATCAAGTAATCAAAAAATCCCTTAGAATCCACCACTTTTTTAATTGCCCAAAATTGATCGGGATTAATGATGCTTATAAACAATGCCAAATTTCGACACGTGAATTTTATTTATTAAACGATTCAAAATGGATGACTTTCTCGAAGATATATGGCTTCGATGAGCAGTACCTAGATGATTACTTCTATTGGAAGGTTAAAAGAAGGAATGTGGTGATTCAGGAGAACGAAGAAGAAAGCGATAAAACCATTTCTGATATAGGTGAATGATTTTCATTTTCCTTTTTTTTTTTAATTGGTAAGTTCATATTTTTTGTATCAACATTTTTCAAATTCTAAATAAAGTTCAGTTCAAAATTTAATAAATATAAATATTCTATTCTAAAAAATTTTCTATTTTACTTTTTACATTCAGATGTTAAGAATAATGCTTCGAAACAGCAACACAATTAGCTTTGCAAGTTAATTTTTAATTTTCCTTTTATTTTTATAATTACCTCATTCAATTCTTTTATTCTCGATGAAAATTGAATAATTATTACCTTTGGGTGAATACTTGATGAGAAAATTGATAATAAGTTGTATCAATTCTTTTATTTTAAATAACTTTTAATGTAGTGATTCTAATGAATTTATTAAGTTAAAAATAATGTGTGTTAATCATTAGGAAACATTTAGCAAGTCTTAATCCTTTGAATATACCGGCAAATCTTCACAAGTAAACTAATTTTAATATTACACGTCTTTTCCAGACCAATTTAATCTTGAATCCAGATTTTTTAAAATGGCGTACGCCAAAAATTTTTATTAAATAAAGAGGATTGTACACAGAAGAAATTTAAAATTAACAGTTAAACATTTTTTTTTTGGTACGAAGACGATAGAATATTTCGCATTTTAATTTTCAAGTTTGTTTTAAACAAAAAAAAAATTATGACTTACGTTAAATTCGATGCCATGCAATCAAAAGGCGTTAAACCAAACCGATGTAATTCTACATTCAGGTTTCACGCATCATGTGTTCCTATGATGTCATCAAATTTATTCTATACGCGATCTGTGATAGTTCTTCTTGATAGAGAACCTAGATAAAGTGTAAAATAAAACTGAATTTTAGTATATAAAACTTTTTTTGTGTTTCTACTTACTTAATTACTTAATTACTTTTAATAATCGAATCCAAAAAAAAGACTTCTCAACATACATATATAAAATATAATAATGATATATTGAATTCAGTTCAGTTAATATGCCATTCGGTCGGATGCCCGCGATTTAATGAAGTATCTGTTATATTATATTAAAGAGTGTAAAGTAGGAAATAATAAAGTTTGCTTTAAAACAACAGAACTTTTATAATTTATGAAATAATTTATGAAAAATTATAAAAGATTTACGAACATATACGCTTTCTATACTAAAATTCTGTGTTTCACCTTAATCTATCAAGTTAGATGCATATTTTGGTTTTAGGGCGATCTCTATCAAGAAGTACTCTTCTGACCTATCAAAGATCGATACTTTGCATCTAATACTTTTAACCGTTTAATGCTAGATACAGTCCCCGGCGAAAATAATGGCGGAGACAGTTTCGACGGTATGTATAAACTTTATATTTAATGTTTATTTTTTTTTTTATTAAAAGAATAATACTAACGGAACATTTTTTAATAATTAATTAATACATTGGTATGCCCTCCTTCATCGATACATGCTTGAATCCGGTTCGGCATGCTATTAATGCACCGAAGTAACACACCATCATCGAGATCGTCTCATTCCTGCCGGATTGTATTAAGGAAAACATCACAGGTAATTTTTTTTTTTGCCACCATATTCTTAATCCCTTTTCCACCTTTCCCTTTAATACAGCCCATACATTTTCGATAGGATTCGAATCTGGGCTGAACAAAGGCAAAGAAAGAACTCTTCCCAGAAGATGTTTTTTCAAGTCACTCTGAACGTCTCGTGAAGCGTGTTTTGGATCATTGTCTTGTTGGAAGACCCAGTTGCACCCGAGTAATGTTGTTGTATTGTTGTACAAATGGTCATCTAGGATGTTTCAGTACAAATGTCAGTCCAAATTTTTGGTAAACAAATGAATGCCAACCTTTCCTTTGATGCTAATCGCTGCCCAAACATGAATCTTGAATGGATGCTTTACCATAGGGGCAACTGGTTGTACATTATGGGACCATGCAAAAATGGTATTTTAAACATCTGGAGTGTTGTTTCATCAGAAAAAACAACTTTCTTCCAGTTGTAATGCAAATGATCACGTTACCAAAATAATCTAATATCATTCGCTTTCTGGGTCAAGAGAGGAACTTTTCTTGGCATAACAGAAACTATTCAAGGATTTTAGTTCAGGATCTTTTTCTTCTAATTTGGCCTTAAGTTCACCTGCTGTAGTGAAATGGTTGTATTTTAGAATTTTTCTGATATGGTAGCATTAGTTTGCATACAATTTTCTTAGGTGGCCAGAAGAATAACTAATAGTAATATTGGCAGTTTTACGTAGTAAACTGACATATCATTTACATATACACAAAGAAATACACAATCATTCATGAATTTCCTTTGCATTATGCATGTTTTAGTTCCAGAGTTTCTTAATAGAGTTTCATTGAATTTTAAGAGAGCTTGGCATTTTTTCAGTTAGAAAATCAAAACAAAACAAAAACAAACCTTTTTTATATTACCTTTTATATTATGATTCTAGCATCCAATTTGGTCATATAAATAATAACTCATATTGAAAATATGATTTATATTTTAGCTTAAATAGATGCAGTATTTAAATTGCCATTTTATTTGCTGAGGACTGTAAATAAATGTTTACTTTTATTTAGAATTATCATATTCAAAGAATAAACAATATTTTTTTTGCTAAAAATTTTTATATATACTTCCCAGTCAAAAGTATTAAAAAAAGTTATCACAACTTTTAAATTTTATAACCAATTTTAATTTTTTAATTATAAAAAAAATTAATAAGTAAATTTAGATAATTTTTTTTTATTTTATTCATAAAAATATGAATTTTTTATATATAAATAATATTTAGTCAGATTGTCATTGCTATCTATCTCACAGATGCTTAATTGGATTAAGATCAGATGATTGTGCAGTCATAAATTATTGGTTAATTTATTTTCTTCTATCTATTTCTTAACTGCTTTTACCTGATAAATAGGAGCATTATCATCTTGAAAAATATACTTTAAATTAGTTTCTAACTCATCAATAAAGGGTAAAAAATTATTATTTAAAATATCAATATATACAAAACCTGTGTTTCTACCAGAAACTTGAATTAAAGGCCTAATCTTATTTTTAGTAAAACATTTTTACACTAATATACTTTGATTTTCTGACTTTACTGTGAAAATTAAACAACTTATATCATATTTTTCATGAGGATGATATTAGATCTAGTGATAAGCATCATTTTAAAATAATATAAAATGTGACTTATTACTATATACCACTTAGATTCCTAATCTTTTCTAGTATAATACTATTCTAACCTTTTTTTATGATTTACTCTAGATATTAAAGGTTTTTTTTTTCAGTATAACTATAAATCTTCATTGTGTAAAATATGTTTTATAGTACTAAAACTTACTAAAACTATTGATATCTGATTGAATTTTTCTATAATTTTATCTAAAGATTATTATCTATCCTTTTTAATAATTTTTATAAGATATTTAATATTTTTTTCTGTTAATTTAAATGGTCTGCTAGACTTAAAAGCATTGGAGATTTGGTGTTCAGTTTTATATTTTTCAATATATTATGAATGGTTAACTTAGAATAGTCAAAAATATTTATAATATCTTGCTCAATATAGCTATCTTTTCAAAGGTTAATTATTTCACATCACTAAATTCAAAGAGTTCTCAGGTTTTAGTCATTTTTAAAAAAATTATATTCGAATACAAGAAGTATATAGCTAAACAGAAAAAAATTAATTCATTTTATGCATTTGATCACAAATAATAATTAGTAAAATTATACCAATTAATATAACAAAAATCAGGTAATACAATATTTTTAACTAGAAAGTTTATATATATATATATATTAAAGTTATTAAATAGCAATGTTTCCTATATAGTACCTTAACTATCAAAATTAAGAAAGCTATATTTTCAACTTTTAATAAAAAATGCTTACCTTTTATCAATACTCTTACAAGTTCTTCAAAGATAATAAAATGTTAATAAAAATCCAAAATAGCTGCTTGTTTTAAAATTTTATTAGCAATATATAATAATATATAAATAGTATTATTATATATTGTTAATAAAGTTTTTTCAAAAAAATCAGAAAAGTTACTATTATAAATATAAGTAGCTTATATTATAGTATTGTATATAACTATACTTTCTAAATATGAAAATATTTAATTAAATAAAAATAATAAAGTATAATGTAAACTATTATTTAGTAAGTTTTTATTATTTATAAATTTTTTTATTTATTTAATATAAAAATATTTTGATTTTAAAGGTAAATTTAAAAGGTTAAAAATCAGTCCTAATAATAGTAATAATGAGAATAAGCAAATAATATAGTGAAATAAATATTATAATATGTTTTATTTATTTATATTAATAATTAATTTATTAAAATTGCTAAAACTTTATATTTCAATAGTCTCTTATATTTGTATTGGTAATGCTTTTTTAAATGCCTTATTTTTATAATTATAAATTTATACTTATCCATAAATTTATTATAGAAAATGTTATTTTATTATTCTTATTAGATTTCTTAAAATTATCAATTCATTTGTAATTTAAAAATTTAAAAATAAATTATGTAACTTTAAATTTATATATATTACTGTCATTTTCATTTGTTTATGATTTTATCTTATATTTTTAATTATATAAGTAAATTATTTGCAAAAATTATTTTATTATAAGGACATAACACAATTTTATTGTAGTTGAAAATCTTATTTTACATAATATTTAAAATTTTTAATATTTAATTTTATTTATTAATTATATTATTATGTATATAAATAATTTTTAATCAATAATAATAAAATACAATTTATTTATAAATTTTTTTTGTAATTTAATATGTATTTTATTATTAAAAATTAAATTAAAAATGAGTATCAAAAAAATAATTTAAGTCTTTAGCTGATATTTAATATGAATTAAATTTCGTCTCATTAATTTTTTTCTAAAATTTAAATAAACAATTCAATAAGAAAGTAAAAATAAAATTTGCAAATAAATAATAAAATT